CCCCTCCCCCCCCCGCCCCCGCCCCCGGCCCCCCCCCCCCCCCCCCCCCGCCCCCCCCCCCCCCCCCCCCCCCCCCCCCCCCACAGCAGCTAGATGGTGTGATTTCTGTGTTTTAGTCTTTTTATTTATTCATTGTACGTTCGGAGTTCTGGTCTGATTAGGGGGCTCACGGGTGTGGTATGCATTAGGTACATAGTTATACTAGGCAGTCGGTTTTAGGTATTCATCCAATTCTACATATGTGATCTGAAGAGAGGGTTGCTGCATTCAAGTCAAGAATTCTTGGATGTTTATGTGGAGTCAGTCGATATTACACTTTCAATAACTAGTATAGTTAGTAACTAACTAGCTAGCTGTTATAAACAACTACAAACTACCCACTACGACAGCATACTGCCTAGTTAGCTTCCAGGTACACATCTACATAGCAGCCCATTCTATACAGAAAGCCCTAGCTCGCGGAGCGTTAGGATTTTCATCTATTCCCTCCTTCTTTTTCCGATTCTTATCCGTGCCATCACCTACCACAGCCCCGCCAATCAAATACCCCTTCTTGACATTCGTACCCAGTCGTCCGCCGGCGACGAGATCCAACACGGCAATCTCCTCCTCCCAACCGTAACTGGCGGCCTGGAAGTGGCTGTGGAAACGCAGGGGGTCGCCGGGGTACACGTTGTAATCGCAGCCGAAACGCAGGCCGGGCATCATGTAGTAGCCGCGGTCCTGCAGGTGCGCATATAGCGGGTACGAGGGCGGGACGGTCACGGAGGCGGAGAAGGGGAAGGGGAAGGGTCCTTCGGGAGGGGCATGGGGAGGAGAAGGGGGGAGGATGAGGCTGCTTGTTGTGGGTGTTATTGCGAAGGCGGGGTGGTCTTCTGCTTGGAGAAGTTGGGAGTGGGAGGGGACGCCACTTGACGGTGGCGGGGAGGGAGGGCTGAAGAGACTTGTGCTGGTCTCCTCGTCGTCTGCTTCGAGGCTTGCCTCGTTTTCTGATTTCTTCGGCTTTACTTTTTCTTTCTTAGTAGTAGTAGTAATCACTTTTGGCTTCGCGCTCAGCTTGCTCTCCGCAGCCGCCATCTGCGCCATCCTGCCCTCAGCTTTGACAGACTGCAAATATCTTCTGCGCGCGTCGTCATCTAGAATAGCAAGGCGTGCAGGATGGAACGCGGCGTCGTCTACGATGTATGCTACGTTCTTGTCGACGAGGACCTGGGCCTCCTCGGGCATCAGCTCGATAGGCAAACCCATGAAGATGTTCTGCTGGGGATTCTGGGGAATCGTCCCGACGAACACGGAGCAGATGTTGTGGTTCTTGCGCAGGTGCATCACGTCGTCTATATCGAAGAGCAGGTACCGCCCCGCGACCTTGGATATCCTCACGGGAGGCCGGCTTACGGTAGAAGCCGCCATCTCCACAGAGGGCATAAATATTTCTGTCTGTTTGTGCGTCAGGTCAGCATTGGTACTGATGAAGCTTGTCATATATAATGTAGAATAATTTGGGCGATCATATTTTTCCAGATAGAAGGTTGTCAACATTATTATTTCAGTGGATTGACAGATTATTAATTATTAATCATTTCGAAGGAGTGTTTTGAGAAAAAACAAGATTATCGACTTACCTGTTGTGGTTGTTGAAGATTGGAAAAAAACCAAAAAACCAAGAGGGGGGTTTTTTTTGTCAAACTTGGAGAAGTCGACGAAAATTTGGGGTTCTAAGTGGGGTCGATACAGTACGAAGTACCAGTTTTAAGAATTAGCACTGTGACAGCCAGCCATACATCTTAGTTGAATAGGTATGTAAAAGAATTCTCAGAATTCCATGCTTCCTTTGCTGGAATCTACCTTCTTCTTTTCCTCTTCATCTTCACCAACTGGAGGCAAGTAGAACGGCTTTATCACAAAACCTTTAGATCGACTCAAGCTAAACGATAGATCCCCGTGAGCAGCATAGCCCTCAGAAGAGCCCCCGCCCTTTTCGTGGAAAACCGGTAAACTGTGGACTTTTAGAAGACCCTGAGTCTGCTCTTCGGATTTGGAATCCGACTTGGAAGACGGAGGAGGGGCATGAACAGCGCTGGACTGGAGCGGGATAAGTTCCAAAACACCATCGGATAATAACTCCATCCAACGTGTAAGTCCTGTAGTCCTAGGGTAAAGTGATAGCGGCAAAGTTATAATAGCCGTAAGCTTTCCCGGATACTGCCTTAACAACGCTCTAAGCGCGTGTAAAAACTGTAAAACTTCTTCGGGTCGAGTAGACGAGCCAGCGTATCCCGTCGGGGATAAGATACTCGGCACTATAATACGATGAATCCACGACGGCGGTGAATTTGCTAGCTTGTAAGCTACATCCTTGATGAACACCTTGAAAGGCGACGTTGAATCTTTCGTACGGGAAGGCAAACCCGGTATGCTCATCGAGGGGTGAAAGCCAATTTGACCCTTGACGTTAGTGGGACTGAGTCTTTTGGTAAGATCGAAAGAATGACAGAAGATAGAAGTAGATTCAGCCGCAGAATTACTTCGCTTCTGAGTCGCATTTCTGTCTCTCGGGGCTCCCCCAGACGACAAGCTTTCGTATCTCCAAGCTATCTTCATCTTGTCATCTGAGGGAGTCTCCGACTTGCCTGATGATTTCTTGTCCTCTGTCGAAAGACCCGGGAGCTCATGGCGCCAACTTTCGTGTAAGCCGAGGACATGGATTTGATGACCCTGAACCATACCCTCGGCGGCATAATAACGGAGAAGTACGCCGGCGAAGTCGGTAGTACCATGCTCCCCGATGAGAAGTGATGTGCCCAGGGGTAAGCCAGCATGTCCAGCAAGTAGACCGTCTAGAGAAGCGGTTCCGGTAGAGGTAGTCGGTCGACCATCGACAAGAGACGGTCGAACTCCGGGGATAGATACATTTTCAGTCTTGGATGGGGCTGACTGAGATGAAGTTGAGCTGCTGATCACAGCATTTCTTTTTCTGAAAGACATGACCACGGCATCAAGTTGGTAAGATTCCCCAATTATGTTTGATGTATTATTAAGTTATTAAGTCGAAGCAGTGAAAGAAAATGGTGTAGGTTATTGGCATATACATTTGGGCTTCTATTCGAGAAAAATAAAGTCGAGAAAAATAAAGCTGGGCAGCTTATCTCCAATTAATGAATAGGTACCTATGTACAATACATATCCCATAGGTAGTTTCGTGCGTCACAAAAATGTTACTACGTCACACGCCCTCTTTACATAGTAAGTCTTTACTACCTAAATCCCCTGGAAAGATAGGTACCTTACCTGCTTTTAACTCTTAGCAGAGCCCCAAAGACCCCCTGTAAATACAAGGCTTCACCGCTTTCAGTAGGCACCCCGCAATCAACGGCGGAATTCCATATACCTAGAGCTTCCATTAAGAAAAGAAAAGAAAAAAAAGCATATCTTAATATCCATCGTCCTTCCCACCTCCCACCTCCCAACCCGATAACGCCGCCAAACCACGCCCGTTCGATAAATCCATCCATCTAGAACCCAATCGCCCAAACTAAACACTAAACCAAGCCAAAAAAAAAAAAAAACAATACAATACCTTCCCTCAAAAATGTCGAACCTCGCAGCAGGCGACGCGCAGCTCTTCGAAGACACCTTCACGGTGACGACCTACGACCAATCCAAATACGACCGCGTGGCGCGTATCGGCGGCACGTCCACCGACAACCTGACGACGATGCAGCTCGACATCAACATCGAGCTGTTCCCCATCCGCGTCGGCAGCAACATCGAGGTCGTGCTGGCTACTAGCCTGTCGCTCGATGGTTCTAAAGACGAGGAGGAGGAGAAAGGATGGCGCCACGTTCGTAACGAGTCCTCCCTTGCCGATATGTACGACTACGTGTGCCATGGCAAGATCTACAAGTTTGAGGATGGTGTTGATGGTCAGACTATGTATGCGACTTCTCTTACCTCACCATTCACCATTCCCCTTTCCCCTTTCCTTCTCCCTTCGTTATTCTGTTTTATTTAATCTTCACGTTTTCTGCTTATACCGGGCAGTACTAATATGGCCGTAGTCGCGCGTACATCTCCTTTGGCGGGTTATTAATGATGCTGGAGGGTCCCTATAAGAAGTTAACGCCGTTGCGTGTCGACAACACCTACCTCCTAGTTAAGAAATGATCTACTATTGCATAGTGCTCTTTGCTCGCCCATTAGCGAGACCACGGCTGATTCACGAGTTAATGCGAGTTATAATCTGAAGGCCAAAATGTAGAGAGGATGGTTATTGCATGTTACAGCTACGCTTGAGATACCAATGAACGCTTATTGCGGCCAAATCATGAACTAGAGCTATTCTACTAGTAAGTCGTGGCCAAAGACGCCTAGATCGCTGGTAGGATATTCAAAGGGGAGAAAGGCGACTGAGAGCATTGTTATGTGGTTGACGGTCCAACTTGATGGGGACCCGGGAAAGGTAGTTTACGATGTAACCGGCTCACGATCTCATCGTAGTTGGGCTCGTTCTCTGGTGTCAGGATCTTATGGCGGATGAAGAAATCGACCAGGATAAGAGCACAGTTAGGCTTGAACTTCCCTTGGGCAAGTTTCTCTTGGACCTCTTCGACCGTCCACAAGTAAAAGTCCGCCACCTCGCCATCCTTGGGCGTAGGAACAAAGTCTGTAGGCAGCTCGATATCGTAAACCCATTGGGTTTCAGGATAAATCTGACCTGCCTCACCGCCTGCTCGTTCGTCCGTGATGTAGATGTACGTGACCATGCCGGCAAACTTGGCTCGTTCGCGCATGAGCGTTTCAGGTAGATCGGCTTCCTCGTCTGCCTCTCGGATTATACATTCGAAGGGGTCTTCTCCTGTCATAAGACCGCCCGCCACAGAGTTGTCTAGCATGCTGGGATACGTAGACTTGTTAGCTGCCCGTTGAGCCACTAATATCTTCATGCCGTAACTCGCCGTGTCGTCCTTGACAAAGGCCGTCATATGCACCCCGTAACGCATGATTCCCAGGAGGCCCGTTCCACTGCGCTCAGCGCTGAACAGGACTTCCTCATTGCTGCCGTAGACAGGCCATAGTTCGTTCCGCCAGCCCCTTAATATATCAAATGTATGGCTTTCCCGCCAATACTGCATCAAGCGGGCCACAAGCGCAGTTCTTTCGGCTTCCGTTGGCAGCTCGAAAGCACGCACCGTGCGTTTGGCTTCATCCACAGTTACGGGTCCGCGGATTTCTTCCGGTGTAGCGAGGAGCTGTTTAACGACTGAATCGAGCATATAGCCAAGGGTTTGTCCATCCTTCCAGACTAGGGTGTAAAGCGTATCGGTAAGGGCCTTGTATGCTTGAGGCTCCTTGTCTGGGTAAGGAAAGCTACTCTCTCGCAAATTGTTTAGTTCTAGTCTACCACTCTTTTTATAAGAGAAGCTTCAACTTACGCATCAGCCTGCTTCATAATATCGAGGTTACTCATTAAACACGGCATCTCGGCTAATGCGTTCGGAGTGAGTTGAGAGCCCCTTAATTTTCTTAGTGTCTGATGTATATTTGATACAGACGAAGCAGAGCTGTAAGCCCTATGAGAAATAAGTGAACGTTTTGTCGTTAAGATAGAGTTAACCCAAATATCAGAATCCCCAGGTTTGTAGTCACTGCCGTGAAGTTGTAGTGGGAAATGTATTGTTCTGTTCTGCCGGAAAAGATGGTAATAATTCGCTTGGTGCCCTTTAATAAGAGGGTTGAGTTGTAGATGATATCCAAATTCCTTTGCTGTAAATTTGCTTGCTGTCTGGCGCTTTAAAAGACTATTAGGTCTAGGTAGGCATCTTGACATGTCTTTTAAAGATTTTAATATCAGAATTTTGATATTAAGACTGAATGAGAATAAGAATGAGTGAGATCCAATAGCGTTGTCTCTTTGTGGTAGTACCTACTTACCTGACCAAACCGTTACTTCACAATCTGCATGTTCCTGCTTCATGAACAAGTTGCAACTTCTTCGATGTTACCTGCATACACATCTCAGGCTGCAGGCGCGGCATTAGGGCATTCTAGATACATGTAGGTTAGGTAGGTTCAATAGGTACCTAGGTACATACATAGGAGGTACATAGCTACCAGATGCAGCAAGACTTGCATAAGTCTTAGCGCACCTCTGCCTCTCCACACCACACCCATGACGTTGAAATTTGTACAATACGGAATTAGGTACCCAAGTATCTTTGTGAAGCTTCCAGCATCTAATCGCATCCCGAATTCTTCTACCTTCGCTTCCTTCTAAGTCATATGTCACATACGCTTTCACCGCGAGGTGGTTGAACCCCTCCTAGGGTCCCTGATTAAAGACGTAACAGAACGTCTTTCTTAAGTCATCTATCTCCATTAGGCACCAATTGATCGCCTTTTAGCTTAGCTGCAAACAATCGTTACCTAGGTAGAGATCGAAAATACCTACAGGTCGAATTAGACGGAATGGAAACAACAACAACAATAATGGCACAACAACAACAACAGACGACCCAGCCGCTCTTCGGCATCGTCCCAGCCGGACAGCCGCTTATTACCGTGCCCTCCTCCCAACCTAGCCCCACGTCGTTTCTATACGCGATCCCGCATCCCGTGCCCTCGCCCGAGAACCCCACCCCGAAACCCTTCGCCCACATCGCCGTCTTCCTCCTCCCTGGCGTTACCCTCCCCGAAGGCACCGCTGCCGCCATCTACGTGGCGCTGAACCCGACCGCTTTAGCCAGCGGCCAAGAGGAGCCCAACTTCAAGTTCCTGGGGGGCGTGGGGCCCGGCAAGGAGAGCGCCGTGTTCAAGCTCTCTCCACCTTCTTCTTCATCATCTACTCCTAACCCCGAGGGCGTGATAATCGGGATCAGCGTGGAGGACGCAGCATCGGTAGCCGAGCGCATCCAGCAACTGCACGCGAACGACTCCAATGGAAATACAACGCAGCAGCAGCAGCAGGCGTCGGCCCAGGTCCTGGCACAGCGCATAATACAAAACGCATTCAACTTCCTAGCCGGGTTCAGCGGCAAGGTAGGCGCCGAGGGCACCGAGGTCGTGCCTCTAAAGGCCTTCCAAGAGTGGTGGCGCAAGTTCGAAAACAAGGTCCGGAACGACCCTACGTTTCTCGAGAGGGAGCAGGAGTAATTGCAGCAGTATTTTCCTCAAAGTGGGAGGCTTAGGTACTACGTATATTGCATAGGACGAGAAAATAAGGGAGACGGGGAAAAGGTGGAAGAAAATGGTAGCAGACTTCTACTGCTGTTGGCTGTTCTAATATTTGACTCCCGTGAGGAACAGGCCGGTCGAAAAGGTTGAATATAAAAGGATAGATTTTCCTTGGTAGAGAAGGACGATGCCACGGCCACCACCTCTGAGCTATGGTCGAGCGATACTGGAATAGACAAAGGCTATTGCATATCTAGGTAGAGGTTTCTAAAAGTTTCATAGGCTTTCAATTTAGTGTATATAAATCTCACGCCAAATACTACTTCACCAGTCAAGTAAGATCAACTACATAATATATATCAATTGCGTGACCACGCGTGACCACCAGTACGGCTGGCCGTGTATGAATATCTGACAACTACCCCCGTATGCAACAACAAACGTGGCGAGCTATGAAGGTATCTACTAAGAATCCAATGTGCTTTTACTCGTCAACCCATATATCGGGGCCCGTCTCAGGCATAATACATAAAATCCGTCACTACCAGAACTCCTTCCCTAGGTATGTAATCCTCTCCTGGGTAACTCCGAACCTGTAGCCCCTACAAGGAGTGTGCCGCCTGGACAATGCAAGGTGATTGCCCAGTAAGGATAAGAATAGAATATACAAGTTTATTAGTCCTCCGTCAAGGGGCTCATTAATGGACTCTTAAGCCTCGTAGGACTGCCCGCTCGACTCCTCCGTCCAGCTGTTAACATTTGTGGAAACAGTCTCTCGCGACTTTCTGTTCGGACTACCAGCCCGGACCGATCGAGTGCGCTTCCAGGGTGTGGGTGCTTTTTAATGTCGTCAAAAGATTCGACATTAAGTTTAGGGGTAGCTAGGCCTGACGATCGACCAACTCTTGATCTTCCCCCGCTACTATCGGAATTATCGCCTTCATCAGACGAAGCTTCGCCCAGTTCGAACTGACTAGCGTCACCCTCTTCCAAAACCCTTTCATAGTTATATGATCCACGACCAAATAGTTTGTGCGAGATAGCCGAGAGGCCGAGACTGAGTTTTCGAGGGCTGCCTGGGCGGCGTCGGCGGCGTAGTACCTTATTAACTTTACCATAAAGCCGCATTCGCCTATCTCGCTTTCGAAGCAGAAAAGCAATAAATAGGAAGATCAGTAGGAAGAAGAAGAGCCCAGGTGTCGACTTTGATTTCGCATGGTCTATCAGATCCTCCGCCGTATCGCCCCAATCATCCTCTTCATCGATTGCCGAGGAAACATTAAAACTGGATCCAGCGTATTGGAAATCTGAAGGAACACCTTTTACGTTACTACCGAATCCCACAGGGTAACGATAGTTGTCCTTGGGTGGAATTTGGCCGGCCGCATAGAGTACCATCTTACCTAGCGTCCAGCTAATCTCGACATTATTAACTTCGTCAGCGGCTTGGAAAGGGTGTAAAAATCCCTTCTCCTTAGCAGCCTCTCCGATTGCTTTCGTGACGTTGAATCCTGGAGTTGGTGTGTGCTCTATGCCATATCTCGGTATGCCGATTCCCTCATGCAATACACTAATAAGCCAGGATGCTTTAAAGCAGGCTTCCTGGGCTTCCTTTCCGTGATCCTTCTTTCGCGCTTCGATGTTCGACTCGATTTCTTCCCAACGCTGACTGCAAAACTCCAATACCTTCTTCTGATATGTGTTGAAATCGTAGGCCGTATCATCGTCTTTACTTCTGAACACGCCGTGCGTGGTATGCCAGTATTCCGAAACTCCAACGAAGTGATTAACATCGAAATCAATGGGCGGGACGTGCTGGCCGTTAAATAAGCATGGCTTGTCTTCGCACGGCATGTCTTTACCCAATAGCGGCTTCGTTCTCCGTAAACACTCATCAAATTCGCCCGTACCAACTAACTCCAGGTCTTTTGAATTCCCTTTGATGACCTCTCCCTTTTCGTTGGTTCGCAATCCTCTTGGTAGGCAAGGGTCGGGCACTTCGTGTTCCCCATCAATTAAAAATTCGTCGACCAAGGCTTTAACGTAACGCTCGCGCGCCTGGTTGACTCCAAAGCCAAGCCATGTTGATGTAAACACCTTATATTCCTTGGGCTCGCCATTTAAGCTTCGCATTCGCAGCAACTTAAGATCGTTACCGTGTTCTTCAGCTACAGTGGCATTTGGCGCAAAAGCGATCTGCGCCGAAGCGCCACCCATATCCAGGAAACCATACGTATGATGATTCTTTCCATGAGCATGCCCATCAGGATCGTCGAAGCCTCCTAGAAGATAGTTGGCTGCTATCCATCCATATAAACCTTCAGTCTCGCCGGGAATGACCTGAATATGCGTGTCGCAATCGGGGAGGGAGAAGCGAGTGTTGGCGCGAAAATACGAGCAGGTCTCGGTTATGACGGCTCTTTGTTGAGTAGGAGGCAATAATCGCATGCCGGCGGTGGCCATGAGGAATATCGGAGTATCGGCATGTTTATCGTCGGGGATGACGTCCAGTGCCCGCTCAACCAGTTCCTGCAGGTGATCGGGACCAACGTCTTCTGGATGATCGCCAAAGGTTGAGATTCCTGGTCTAATCTTTTTTGTCCATTTATCTTTGGTTACGATATTGGGCAAACTATGTAACTCTTGATAGGATGCTTCCTTGAGGGCTTTTGCAGGATCTAGCCACCGATATATATGTAGACGCGTTCCGGAGGAACCGGCGTCCAGAATGATACCCCATCTCCCTAATTTGTAGCAAGTGTCGTCAGCAATGTTGCGATATGGACCTTATGACGGTTTAGAGGGGAGGCTTACATCTCTTCCCCATGACGGTGGAACTGAGGGAAGCAGAAAGGCAGGCTCAAGACAAAATGGTGGTAGATGCGCAATTAGTTGCGATGTTTGTTGTCTTGTTGTCTTGTTGGAAATTATAGAGCGTTAATATCGCAACATGTCCTTAATCTTAATATGCCTCGCTACGTTTGTGCGACGAAGAGCGCGAAGCTAATAATATGATTATAGTGTGTGGCGTGAGATGACTGGTGACTGGTTTCAAGGTTTGTTTCAATTACGCGTTCTGGATTCGGCGTCAAAAAGCATAGGAGGTAAAGGTAGCAGATTAGGTTAAGGGGGGTGCGGGTTCAACAAGATGCGATGCGATCCAGGATACAGGATACAGGATACAGGGTTTATGATAGCGATAGTGAAGAAAGAGAAATGAGAAACAGTTTCGGATAGGTAGGCTAGGTAACGAGCGAGAATAAGACTCTAACTAATAGATGAATAGGTGAGTACCCAAGGTTCGCAAAAGTTTATTTTTCGATTTGTTTGAACGAAAGGCAACCTTTGGATAAGGTAGTTGGGATTATTTGGGTTATTTGGACGAACTTTGGGACTTTGGGTGAACTTGGAAAAGAAGGTTTCTTAACAGTACGTAGGCCTGCAGAAGCCAAGGAGCCCAGAAATGGAGGCGAGATACGGGGCATAGGCTGGAACTAAATGTTGGTTCGATTTCTTTTTTTGGATTGGCATGATGGGACTGGTTATGCCACCGGACCAATAGAAATGCTTTGTTGTAATCGTAATCAGTGCTACTAGGATATGTTGTGACTGCCAAGTACCTTGCAAGTCCACCGAAACTTCCTCCAATCAGGTAGGCTGGTACTCGTGCCACGCCCCACTTAATTCTGGTTTCGCAAGCGTATACCAGTCTTAACTGGTGCTTACCACTATTATCCACACACCACAATTATCCC